GTCTTCTAGAAACAGGGAAAACAAAAACTTTATTTAATATTTATTCTTGATAGCATGATTATATATAAAACAGACTAAAATAACCTCAACTGGCAAAAAGAGAATAAGATGGGATATAAATATATGGCAATAAGTACTACTGATCTCTTCAGTTATCTCTATGTGACTGCAGCATATTCATCCCCTAAAATCATTCACTAGTTGCCAACTGTATGCCAGGAACTGCAGATGTAAAGGTCAATCAAATATTTTCTGTCCTTGTGAAGCTCACAGCAGCAGCAGAGGGAGACATGTAGAAACAAAAAGGGAAGAGATTTCAATTTAGAGTACCATTAGGGACAAGGAGAGAGGGGTCATTCTACCTGAGGAGATGAAGAATGATGCATTCATAGGAGAAGTGACCTTAAGCTAAGTCTCAAAATTAAGAAGGAGCGTCCAGACTGCTTCTGGCAGAAGAAACTGCAAAGACACAGAGGCATGAATCAGCATGGAGACTTTAAGGAACTGCACGTAGTTCATTGTAACTGGAATAAAAGACTCACCATGACTTAGCAAGAAATGAGGCTGGATGGAGTCAGGTTCAACATAAGCACTTTATAAAATACTTATATTTAATTTCTGATTTAATTAAACATTTCTTGGTCATTATTGTGAACAAGGCACTAAGTACACCATGGAAAATGTAAGATGCATTGCCAGCACTTTGCAGACGTGACATTATTCAGCCTCAAGTTTCCAGTGGCCAAAGGGAAATGTTGACTGCATTTCATAAACTTGAATTAGAGGTTTCTTAATATGGTTGATGAAAACTAATATAAAGGCAATGTGATTTTCATGGAAGCATGCCATGTTGTCAAGAGCCTCTTAGATTTTTCTCAACTGTGAGAAAACTAGAAGTTTTAAAGATGTGGAGTCTGGAAAGGAGATCCTAGTCACTGTACAGTCAGGCACTAGTGGGAATGGGGAGGGCCATTCGCATCCCACAGAAATACAATACACACCAAAACTGGCCATGCGCTCGTCACAGAATATAAATGAGTTAGCAGTTAAAACATTTCAGAGAAAATTTCCTTTCCCATAAATGCATGAAGATAATATCAGAGTCTTCTCACACTATATTTTTAGGATATTGGGAAATTACAGGATATGAAGAATTTAGAAGGTGGAGGAATTATAGCTTCAAAATTTTCAATTAATATAAAAAAATCAGGAAGCTCTTCATTCAGGCTATGCACCATGTGCACAGTCAAGAATTGGCAGAAACCCTCTGCATTTGCAAACACTTTGTGCTATAAAAATAATTTTTAAAAAGCCACCTGTATAAATATATATATATATATATATATTTAAAGACACAGTTTTGATACTTTTTTACAAAAATTACAAAAAAACAAATACCTGTACAAACCATGTGCTTTTAAAATAGCATTTTGTTCTATACTAATTGTCAATTTGAGGTAAAGTACTGGTTTGCAAACTCCATCATCTTGTATCTGAGTGGATTTTCCTTGTTTGTCTCCTTCCAATCCCCAAATTACTGTATTTGATGTAACAGTCGGGCATGTTAGAATGTTTGGTCACACCAGCTGTTTCTGCTCTTTTTGTCTTACCATTTCGAGTTCTGTTAGCTTCTGTACTCCATGCCCTCTACAATCTGGTTTCTCTTCCAGAGACAGAGGGAGTGAAGGTGTGTGCTGCATCTCCCTAGCTGTACTGACATCATCTTGGTGAACTGAAAACCAAATGTAGACATTTGTAAAATCAATACAATGTTTCTAGAGAGAGATTAAATTCATTTTTAAAAATTGTCCATTGTGATGCTTTAATTGGGGCGGGTGGGGAAATGAACTATCAGTAATTGAGTCCCTATTATGTCTCAGGTATTCTACATAAATCATCTCAATCTTGGCAACAACCCTATAAGATAAATACTATCAGGACTACCCATCCCTATTTTATAAATGAGGAAATGGGTGAAGTAATTGCCCAAAGTCACACAGTTATTTTTCGTAGACCCAAAGAGCATGCACACATGATTCTCTGCCTGGATTTTCTTTTTCTGCCTCTTTCTGACTAACTCCTATTTATCCCTGAGTACTCCACTTAGGTAATGCCTCCTCCAGGAAGCTTCCCTGTTTTCTTATTCTGTAACTCAACTCTGTGCTTCTATAATAATTTTTGCCTATTTGCATCCCAGTACTTCTGTCCTGACACTTAACTCCTATGTCATTGAGATTGCTTTCACCAAGTTGATCCAGGATCTCCTTCACTATAAATGTTGTAAATGCTTTCAGTTCTTAACTTCCTGGACCTGGAAGCCATATTTAACACAATTGACCACTCCTTATTGGCAAACTCTTAAACACCATACTAATGGTTTTTCCCAGACCTCTCTGGCCATATCTTAGTCTTCTTTACTTACCTCTTAAATTAAACCCACCCATTTTTCTGTTTCTTTTGTCACTACCTGACTATGGGTCATCATTATCTTATATTACCACCCTCATAGAATACTTTAACGACTATTTATCCAAATTTCAACTTTCAGTTTTTCATTTTCCAATCTAACCTACAACATGGCAGCCAAAGTGATTTCTCTAAAAATACAATAGGTCACGTCACCACCATTACTTTCCACTTTCCTGATTAAAGCCCTTCAACTTCTTCCTTGGCATTAAAACCCAATATTCTTGGGTTAACCCAAACCCTTTAATAAGAGTAAGGGTCTCGCTGGGTGCAGTGGTACATGCCTGTAATCCTAGCGGCTCAGGAGGCTGAGACAGGAGGAACACGAGTTCAAAGCCAGCCTCAGCAAAGACAAAGTGCTAAGCAATTCAGTGAATAAATACAAAAATGGACTTGGGATGTGACTCAGTGGTCAAGCGCCTCTGTACTTCCTCTATTGATAACCCTTATTCCTACCTTATGCCTTCTTGTGTGCTCAACTGCATTCTCTGCAAGCTCTATAAAGATTTGTTCTTTCACATCATATCCTCAGCACATGACACGGTGTAGACAAATTATGCTGAATTCAGGCACTGCAGACATGCATGTCATGCTCTTTCAGCTATTCAATGTTATCTCATGTCCAAACACCTGGATTACTTTATAGGCTAACAGGGTCAAGTGTCCTTTAAATTTTTTAGTACTTTTGTTATTTGCCATGTCCATAGATGCCTAGATTTGCCCCTTAAGAGTTTTTATAATTTCATTGTAGGAAAATAACCATATGACAAATGGCCTAACTCTAACTATCACCTCAAGACTGTTACAATGGGGGCTGGGGTTGTGGCTCAGTGGCAGAGCACTTGCCTGGCATGTGTGAGGCACTGAGTTCCATCCTCAGCACCACAATTAAATAAATAAATAAATAAAGGTATATCAATAATTTAAAAAATATTTTTTAAAAAAAGACTGATGATTCAAAGAACAAGCACATGTAAATGGGCTCAGCCTAGGAGCTGACATGTATTCAGTGCCAAATACCTAGTGGTTCCCCTCTCTTTTCATAAAATTCCCTTGTTACCACTCCTGTCCAGTGCTTTGTAATAAAAAATGCCTCATGATGGGCTGGGGATATAGCTCAGTTAGCAGAGTTCTTGTCTTGCATGCACAAGGCCCAGGGTTCAATCCCCAGCACCACAAACACACAAACACAAAAAGCCTCATGACTATAGCAATTTACAGTTGGCAAAATATTTTCTAACACATTCTTTCTTATCCTTATAATAGTGCTTCCAGGTACACAGTATTATTAGGTTCTTATTTTTTATACATTTATCATTTTGCTGTACTAGGGATCAAACCCAGAGCCTCCCACATGCTAGACCAAGCACTCTATCACTGAGCTACATTTCCAGTCCTATTATGCTCATTTTAAAGATAATGCAACTGAGTTTCAGAAAGTTGAACCTGTTCACCTATGGTTACAGTGACTCACTGTTAAGGAATTATTTTAACCTCAGTCTCCAGTGATTCCCTCAGCCTCTAAACCCACTCTACACTCTGCTACCAATGCTTCTTCAGGGAGAAAAGTGTAGTTTGGGAATAAGAATTTATTAAGAATTTACAGGATTTACAGAACACTATACAATTAGAGAGTCTCCAGGCCCAAATAACGATGTCATCTTAGCACCATCTCTAGAACCATTCTCTCTATAGCTGGAACTTGGATGGCTAAAGCATGCTTCTATAATTAGGATTTTCATCGCCCTTGGCCTACACAAACCTTAGCTGAGCTAGAAAACTTTCAGATGTCAACAACTCTCACCGGAAAAGATAGCCTTCTGGGCGCTGGTCACCTACCTTGACCTACCTAGGGAGCTCTACAAAAAAGCAACTTCCAGATTCTCCATTGGAGATATGAGTTTGGGGTGGGTCCAGGAGTTTATATTTTTTTAAAGGCGCCAATGGAACATGATTCCAACATGCAGCCTGGGCTGAGAATCCCTGAGAAATCAGGTATACCGTTTAACTTCCCCTTAAGGTACCTATTCTAGAGACCAGTGAAGCAGGGAGAGAGAGAAAAATAAAAGGGGGAAGAACAGGAATTAGTCTAGGCGAGTTAGTTCCAGGTAATCTGCACTGTGGATTCGGGGAAGGCGTCACTGAGAACGTTTTCTTAACAGAAGTTTGAAGACAATTTACACACACATCATAGTGCACGGCTTTCTCCTGGGAAGTCGGTCATTTTGCTCATTTTACTGTTGAGATAACCTAGATCCAGAGACAGTAAGGAATCTTCTCCGACTCATAAGTCGGTGTCCTTTAAAATGGCGGGACCCAGGATCGAAGTCCCGGGCTCCCAGTCTTTAAATGAGGTCGCCAGTCCCTGAAGAAGAAGCACGAAGACCGCCGGCAACTTCCACCTCATTTCCCAAAACACACAAAGAAGTTCTTCCATTTTCCCGCCCCGGGGTGGAAAAGAGGGACAAGCTTTTCCCCACCTCCGGGGAGGAGGGACCTAGACACCGCGAGCACGCCCTTTTCTTGACGTCACTTCCGCGCGCCACCGTAAACGTCATTACCTGCCGCCGACCGCGGCATTGTGGTTCGCTTCTGAAGTTCGGTCTTAGTTCCATTTTGCTAGGCATGGAGAGTGACTTTTATCTACGTTACTACGTGGGTCACAAAGGCAAGTTCGGCCACGAGTTCTTGGAGTTTGAATTCCGACCCGACGGTAAGAGCGGCTTCTCGCGCGCCTGGAGTGGGGACTAGGCCTGGGGGCATCCCTGGGGTCCGGAATGGGCAGGGAACTAGAGGAAGGGACTGAGACCCGTGCAGACCCGGTCTGAAGGAACCCTCTTTCTCCGCTCTTAGGTTCTTTCTATCCGTGTGCAGCGGCTTCTGTTTAGTGCTAGTTGTGACCGGTTTGCTTACATTTGCTGTGTTCCACTCTAGGAATACAGCAACGAGGATAGACAAACTAATTCTCTCGCTGAACTTCTGTTTCAACGCTGGGAGAGGGATCACAAAATGATCCCAGACAGTGACGATTGATCCTGAAAAGGCAAAATGTTGAAATAATTGCTGGTTGAGCTGCTTTAAGATAGGGTAGCCTTTAGAGCGCTCTCTGAAGAGTGGATATTGGAACTGAGCCCTGGGTGTCAAGAAGGAGCTAGCCTCGTGAAGCTCAGGAGGAAGAGCACTTTACAGAGGGAGTAGCAAATGTCAAGGGCAAGAACAAGCCAGGCATGTTTCAGATAGCCAGTGTGATGGTTGAGCAATAGTTGAGCTCTGAGGACAATAGTAGGAGATTATGTCGGATAGGTTGGGGCCACACTATGTGTTTATAGACCATGGTAAAGAGTTTAGATTTCTAAATACAGCAGGACACAGTCGGAAATTTTGAAGCAAAGGAAAAATGTTATCTATTCCTGAAAATTTATTCTAGCTATTGGGTGCAGAATGGGCAAGAGTGGAAATGGTCACTAATGAGGAAGTGTTGGTTGGGACTAGGGTACCAATAGAAATTAATAGAATTAATAGAAATAGAGAAGATTTAGGATAGCGTTGGGTGCAGAACCAATTAGGCTTGACTGATAAAATATTTGGAAGGCACACTGGTGGAGGAAAGAGGAGTCAAAGATGATAGAAAATTTGAACTAAATGAGGGTACAAAGATGAATCTGACAAGCTTCAACTGTGAGGGAGATAGATTTGTAAACAAACAGTGACAGAATGGTGTATTAGGTGTTGTGGCATAAAGAAGCAAAGGAAACTTTGGAAGCAAAGAGGAGGCACCTAATCTAACTTGAGGGTCAGAGAAAACTTCCTGCATACTATGACTTGAGTTGGAAGGATGTGCAGAATTGTGTAGGAGTTGTGTTTTGGACGATTCACAGCAAAGAGGCTGAAAGCTAAAAAGTGCTTGAGATGTTTCAGGCAGAAACAACGTGTTTGACACCAGCTGTGATTAAAGATTATGTAGGAGAGAGGTTACAAAGAAAGGCAGGGGTTCAGCTTAGTTGCTATAATAAGGAGTTTGGTTTTGTCAGGAAGGCAGAAGGAAACCATTGATGGTATCAAAGTATTAGATTAACCTAGCCATGTAGATCTGTTCCTGCATCACATTATCCATTGTAAGTAACATGAAATGAAACTTGAAGTAGAGAAAAAGTGAAAAGGCTTTTTATTTGGCTCTTCTTACCTGTGTCTTCCATAGTGGGGGAAATCATGTTTTCTGTTTTTTTTTCTATCTTCTCCTTCATCCCTGCCATATTCCCCAAACTAGCCTGTTCACTCTTCATATGCACAGAGGGCCTTGTGTACCAAATGTGTTCAATGATAAAAGCACATTCTTTTCATCACAGAAATATCAGATTGTCACATGGTTGTATGATAATACATATAAACAGCATCCTACAGTTTTCAATGTGCCTTCACATGTCCTCTGGCAGGTAAGTTATCAACTACAATCCTTATTTTCAGCTGAGAATATTAATCTGCAGAACTGTGCTTTGTCTGAGTCACAAAACAGTCTGCTTTTATTCTTTTACATAGGTAGTTGCCTTTTGCTTGAACTGTAGTTCAGTGTTACCTGAATTTTTGGCTGGGAGGCTAGTAACCTGAAGTGACAAACTGAAAAGGCTAGTAATGTTGAAACTCCAAGGCGTACATAGTAAATCTGACAGCCCCTTTGAAAAACAGTTAGGATACATTTTAGGCAACAGGTAATAGTCTCGGTTGACTAATAATGCTTTATTCATATGTTTTTACTGTATATTGCATTTATTTTCTCCCTATTACAGGTAAATTGAGGTATGCCAACAACAGTAATTACAAAAATGATGTCATGATCAGAAAAGAGGTATGCCTTTCATTTTCATTTCAGTCTATCTTTCTGCCCTATATTGGTTTTGCTCTTTCTAGGAATAGTATTTAAAGTTAAGGACTGGGGAAGTAGATCTATATCTGTCAACAGCTTCTAGATTATTTCTTTTTTATTTTATTTATGTATTTCAGTTTTTATTTTATAATTATGAATCAATTACTGATAGCTACTTGAAGCCTGGTATGCCTTGGTTGGATCCCTCAATCTGCTGCTTACTAACCTGTGTGACCTTGGATAAGTTTCCTGGCTGAACTTGATAAGTCTCTGTTTCTTCATATTCAGAAACAGGGATAATAAAATCATTGTCCCTTTCCAAGTACTGTCATAGAATTAAATATGTTATTCTTAAAGCAGTTGGTATATTCCTCGGCACATAGCCCTCAATGAAGAGAGCTATTTAATTTGCATCTGAAAGTGAAAAGGGAGCATAGAAAGCAATTAGCATCATTGAATACATGATAGATGCCATGCCTGGCACCAGGTGTTAAGATCATACATATGATCTTATTAACCCTGATTATAAGCCCATGTGATGGGAGGTATTATATCCTCTTTATAACAAAATGAAGGCCCAGATGGGGCCTGTTCACAGTCATCCTTGCTAGTAAGAGGTTAACAACTGGAATTCAGATCTGTGCATATATTATGCTTTGGATATGAGATGCTTGTCATACTCCCCTGACCCCAAAGAAATATCACGTAGTAATGCAGGAATGTTTAGAGGTGAAATGGTTTGATTTTGAGAGCTATAACCACATTGGTATAAATTAATCCATTTGGTGGACTTATAATTTGAATTACTAAGCAGTAATTATAGGCAGGTGTGTTGTGACTGGAGGAGGTAAGTCACTGAGGGCATGCCTTGGAAGGGTTTATCTTCTCTGTGGCCTCTTCCCCGATGCCCTTCCCTCTGCTTCCCCACCTCCCTGGCGGGCATCTTTCCTCTGCCAAGCCCTTCCCCCATGAAGTTTTGCCTCAACTAGGGCCCAGAGCAATGGGATTAGCTGACCACGTACTGAACCTCTGAAACCATGAGCCCAGATTAAACTTTTTCTCCCCTAACTAGTTCTTATCAAGTATTTTGGTAATGGTGACGAAAAACTGACTAACACAGCATGCCTTAGTACTGTTCCATGGACTCTCATTCTGTTATGATTTGTCACATTGTTTTTTATACCAAAAAAAAATGAAAACTAGTGAATAAGATCTATGTTAACTCAACATGGAAAGACTTTGTCAAAGCTACTTTTTCCTTTTACCACTTTGTTACATTTGAAAATATCTTAACAGTCAATGTATTTTTAAAAATTTTTTTTTAGTTGTATATGGACTCAGTGCCTTTATTTGTTTTTATGTAGTGCTAGGATTGAACCCAGTGCCTCACACTTGCGAGGCAAGTGCTCAACCACTGAGCTACAACTCCAGCCCACAGTCAATGTATTGTAATAACTATTTAATGAGCAATTGATTTTACACTTTTCCATACTTGTCAGCATGGGGTAGCATACAAAGTGTTTTTAGTTTGTTTTGTTTTTTGGGGGGTACTGAGGATTGAACCCAGGGTACCTTACCACTGAGCTATATTCCCAACCTTTTTGCTTTTTATTTTGAGACAGGATCTCACTCAGTTTTCCAGGCTAATACACTACCATGCTCAACTGCACAGAAATAGGTCTTCAGGAGCTGTTGTTTTTATCTTCTCTGAGTCAGAGTACTCCATAAAAATACAACCTAAGTTTTGTTTTTTAACCTGCTTTCAGGCCTATGTACATAAAAGTGTGATGGAGGAATTGAAGAGAATAATTGATGACAGTGAAATTACCAAAGAAGATGATGCTTTGTGGCCTCCTCCTGACCGAGTAGGCCGGCAGGTGTGTATTTTATTGACTGTCCTTGTAATACAGAATTCTTACAAAAAAGATGACATTTACTGCTCTGCTTAATGTGTGCATGCATATGTGCATATTACTGAGCCTTGCATGAAACAGATAACTAGCATTTTGTCTAAGGAAACATTAATTCCAGAGAGAGGACCAGAGACAGCAAGTGGTGTTGCAGGCTACCCAGAGCCCAGCCCTGAATTGCTTCTTGTGATCTCCCCTCTTAGACCTTTGCTCTCTATCTCATATATTGAGTAACTTCTCTGGACAAAGCATTGTGGGGATATAGAGATAAATAAAAAATAGTTATTTCACAACCTAATGGAAGGAAATCATGCAAGTGACTATATGTATTTAAATTCATGACACATATGTGTGTGTGTGTTTAAAATTCTAAAGATTGTTTTGGGAATTAAAAAAATAAGAGCCATTGTCTTATTTAACTGAATTAACCAAAAAGATATTTCTCCTTGACTGCAGCCATCATAATCCAGATTTCTAATTGATTTCCTTGATTTTCCTCATCTTGTACAGCCCACATTTCCATCCTAAAATCTTGTGATCTTTAAAAATGTAAATTTGTTTGTGTATTCCACTGATTTTTATGATGCTCTACAAGTGAACTATTATCCCTAGCCCCTGAGAATACTGTTATCCTACTTTTAGGAATTTTCCTAGGGAAGTTTTCACATACCTGCAAGGAAATACATAGAAGAATTTTGTCACATTGTTTTTTATACCAAAAAAATTTTTAAAAACTAGTGAATAAGATCTGTGTTAACTCAACATGGAAAAATCTAAAAAGCAATATTGAATGGAAAAAGTAAAAAGATACATGTAGTATGACCACATAAAATAGATTTAAAACATACTACCAAATCTAAAATCACAAGTAGAAAGAATACACTCCAGCTTTAGGGGACAGAGGAAGGAGAAAGAATGGGAGATGGCACTAGATATGGTGGTGCATGCCTGTAATCCCAGCAACTGGTGGAGGCTGAGGCAGGAACAGCATAAGCTCAAGGCCAGCCTCCACAACTTAGACCTAAAATAAATAATTTTTTTTTTTTTTTCAAAAAATAAAAAGGACTGGGATGTAACTCAGTGTCAAGGCACCCTTGGGTTCAATCCCTAGTACCAAAAGAAGAAAAAGCATGGAAGATAGATTTTTTAATATTTATTTTTTTAAAAAGAAGGTGGGGGAAAAAAGGTCTCACTGGAAGAATATAAGTTCTTCAAAGACAGAGTTATGTGTTTGGTTTGGTTTTATTAATCTGTCCTAAGTACTAAGAACAATACGTGGCAAAGAGGAGGCAATCATATAGATAGTTTGAAGGTTTATGGTATTTGTGTCACTGTTTACAAATTGAAACCCAAGGTCATACAGCTAGTAAGTAGCAAAGCTGAGATCAAACCCAAGATCTAGGATAATTTTCCTTGTTCCATGTTGCCCAGAAAGGTTGGATACCATATCTATCCACGTCACTTCACAAAGTGGTATGTAAATTTAAATCTCACATGATTGTCCTTGAAGACACTACTCTCTCTAGGCAGATGAGTTTCTCAAGGGCTTATCTAGTATCATCTCTGTTTCCATCACAGTTTAATGCTTAAAATAAGGTACTTTTTCTATGTGGCCATCTATAGTAGAGTTTGAGTGATTTGGAAGTAGTGAGTCCCTTCCTTGTACTTGATGAACATTTCAGCCTCGCCCAACTTAGATTTTTTTAAATGTTTCTAGGAGCTTGAAATCGTCATTGGAGATGAACACATTTCTTTCACAACATCAAAAATTGGTTCCCTTATTGATGTTAATCAATCTAAGTAAGTATGTATGATCCTTTTATCCACTATGTCTATCTTGGAGTAGATTAATAAGAAACTTGAACCAAATTGGGACCATTACGGGAAGATCTGGTGCAATTGCAAGACAGAACCGGGCAGCTTTGTCCCCTTCATTAGAAAGGGACTCCACATTATAGTCATTTCACAGTATCCCCAGGGGATTGGTGCCAGGACCCACTGTAGACACCAAAACTGTGGTTGATTAAGTCTCATATAAAATGGTTTAACACATTCATATAGCTTATGTACATCTTCATGTATACTTTAAATCATCTCTAGGTTATTTATAATACTTAATACAGTGTTGGGGTTGTGGCTCAGTGGTAGAGCGCTTGTCTAGCATATGTGAGGCACTAGGTTCAAGCCTCAGCACCACATAAAAATAAATAAATAAATGAATAAAGGTCTATCAACAACTAAAAAAATATATTTAAAAAAAATACCTAATACAGGATAAATGCTATGTAAATAGTTGTTATACTGTATTGTTTAAGGAATAATGAGAAAAAAAATCTGCTATTATAGGCCTAAATACATTTTGATCCATGTGTGGTTTGGACCCATGAATGATAAAGATCCTCTGCAGATTTGGGCCAGCTGTATTTTTAAAGGCTACTTCTGTTAACTTTTCTTGTTTCAGTCATTGATACTAAAACTTTCTCAGTCTCTCTCTCTCTCTCACACACAATCACACACATATACACAGAGAGAATAATGCATCAAAGCAGCCAGAATAGAAAATTAAGTATGCATGAAGAAGTTCTTGAAATAAACTGTACCATATCCGAGTCTGAGAAGCTTTCTCAGTCACTGTTGACCATTCAACCCAGCACCTCTTTAAGTGTTGATTAAATTTGAAATCTCTTAATATCTAAATTTAAAAATTCATGTTGTCAGTGGGGCAAATTACAATGTTGCAATACAAATCTATATGCTTTAAAGGGTCTAGAATCCAACAACCTGTTTGACTCCTGTGTTTTAAGGATTTGGAATTAGTTATGGATCACTGTTAGTAAATGTTGGGTTTAATTGTCTTCCTTCAGTATTTTTGTTCTTAGATATTGATGCCTAGTAATATTCAGCCTCTTGGTTCTGCTTAGTACCACTTTAAAAAGGGGAGAGGAGGTTGTTTCTAATTCTGAAAGCAATACATGTTCATTGTAGAAAGCACAGGAAATATATAAAAAATAGAAAAGAAGGGAAAAAATTTCCCATAATCTTAGCCATTGTTGATATCTTGAAATGTATCTTTTTAGTCTTTTGCTGTGTGTGTACATTAAAAAATACAGTTTTTGAAAAGCATAAAAATATTGAAATGTTATATTAATCATGATTTGGGGGTGGGAGAGGTACTGGGGATTGAACTCAGGGGTACTCGACCACTGAGCCACATCCCCAGCCCTATTTTGTATTTTATTTAGAGACAGGGTCTCACTGAGTTGCTTAGCGCCTCGCTTTTGCTGAGACTGGCTTTGAACTCACAGTCCTTCTTCCTCAGCTTCCTGAGCCACTGAAGTAAGGAAATATCAAGCCGGGTGTGGTGACACATGCCTATAATCCTAGCAGCTCAGGAGAGTGAGGCAGGAGGATCATAAGTTCAAAGCCAGCCTCAGCAAAATTGAGTCACTAAACAATTCACTGGGACCCTGTCTCTAAACAAAATACAAAATAGGCTGGAGGTGTGCCTTAGTGGTTGAGTGCCCCTGGGTTCAATCCCTGGTACCCCTCTCCCCCAAAAAACAACATATTTAAATGCCCTCATAATATTTCATTTTAATATTTGTAATATTTCTTTATGGGTTTTAGGCTGTTCAAAGGTTTAATGCTTCACAAGAAGCATTTTGGTAGATAAATAATCAGGTTATTAATTGGGTTATGTTTTGGAGGGATTTTTTTGCCAGGTTTTCTCAGCATTTTAATTTTTTTCCCCTCTTACATTTTAGGGATCCAGAAGGCTTACGAGTATTTTATTATCTTGTCCAGGACCTGAAGTGCTTGGTCTTCAGTCTTATTGGATTACACTTCAAAATTAAACCAATTTAAATGAAATATTAGTATGGACCTGAGGGGGGTGGAAGTAGTTGTTTTTAATTACCACTATCAGGAGATTTTTGTGTATATCAAGGCAGTATTTTTTTTATAAACTGTAAATGATTGTCTTTAATAAATATGTGATAAAATCCAATTTTTTATTTTATTAAAAACCTGAACATATGAGCATTCCTCGGTTACTTTGTAAAACACCAACATTGTGTGGAAGTATTACCAAAATATCTACCAATTCTCTGGAAACTACCATTTACAGGAAACAAGTAAATGGAGAAAAAAAGTTTAAAAACAGAGTAAGAATCCAGTTAATAATATTCAGAGGAAAAGAAATTCTTGAACAAATGATCTGGCTTCTTAAATAAGTTGCAAGAGCTGGGCACCATGGCGCACGATTATAATCCCAGCGGTTTGAGAGGCTGAGGCAGGAGGATTGTGAGTTCAAAGCCAGCCTAAGCAATGGCAAGGTGCTAAGCAACTCAGTGAGACCCTGTTCAAAGATTTTAGGGATCCAGAAGGCTTACGATAAAATAATACAATAAGGTATTTAAATAAAATACAGAAAGGTCTGGGAATATGGCTCAGTGGTCGAGTGCCCCTGAGTTCAATTCCTGGTACCGAGAAAAATAATAAATTACAAGAAAAACAAGTCATGGAACAGAAAAGCATAAAGGAGATTTAAAAAGACACATTAATTGCTGGGTGTAGTTTAGTGGTAGAGTGCTTGCCTAATATCCCTAAGGACCTGGATTCATTACCTAGCACTACCAAAACAAAAAACCCCACAGTCCATGCAATGTATGGATTATTTGGATCATGACCCAAATTGACATTAATCAGGAAATTTGAACATTGGTATTTGAAGACAATAATGAAATAGTGTTAATTTTTTAGGTATGAAATTGTGGTTGGGGCTGGGTTCAGTGGCACACACCTGAAATCCCAGCAGCTTGGGAGACTGAAGCAGGAGAATCGTGGGTTCAAAGCCAGCCTCAGCAAAAGCAAGGCACTAAGCAACTCTGAGACCCAGTCTCAAAATAAAATACAAAATAGGGCTGCGGATGTGGCTCAGTGGTTGAGTGCCTGAGTTCAATCCCTGGTACCAAAATAAAAAATTGTGGTTAGAGTTTTTTTAAAATATCTTTTATAGACACATCTATATTTCAATGTAGGGGTAAATACCTTGTTTTTTTGAAAACACATTTTTTTAAAATTTTTTATTCTAATTTGTTATATATGACAGCAGAATGCATTATAATTCATATTACACATATAGAGCACAATTTTTCATATCTCTGGTTGTATACAAAGTATATTCACACCATTCGTGTCTTCATACATGTATTTAAGGTAATCATATCCATCTCATTCCACCATCTTTTTCTACCCCCATTCGCCCTCCCTTCCCCTCTCACCCCTTTTCCCTATCTAGAGTTTATCTAATCCTCCCATCCTCCCCCTCCAAACCCCACTATGAATCAGCCTCCTTATATCAGAGAAAACATTCGGGATTTGTTTTTTTGGGATTGGCTTACTTCAATTTAGCATTATATTCCCCAACTCCATTTACCTGCAAATGCCATGATTTTATTCTCTTTTATTATTGAGTAATATTCCATTGTGAATATATACCACATTTTCTTTATTCATTCATCTACTGAAGGGCATCTAAGTTGGTTCCACAGTTTAGCTATTGTGAATTGTGCTGCAATAAACATTGATGTGGCTGTGTCCCTGTTTTTAAGTCCTTTGGGTGTAGACCAAGGAGTGGGATAGCTGGGTCAAAAGGTGGTTTTATTCCCAGTTTTCCAAGGAATCTCCATACTGTTTTCCATATTGGCTGCACCATTTCACAGTCCCACGTGTATGTATGTATGAGTGTGCCTTTTTCCCCTCATCCTCACCAACACTTACTGTTGTTTGTATTCTTAATAGCTGCCATTCTGACTGGAGTGAAATGAAATCTTAGAGTTAGTTTTGATTTGCATTTCTCTAATTGCTAGAGATGTTGAACATTTTTTCATATATTTGTTGATTGATTGTATATCACCTTCTGACAAATGTCTATTCACTTCCTTGGCCCATTCATTGATTGGGTTATTTATGGGGTTTTTGTTGTTGTTGTTGTTGTTGTTATTCGTTTGTTTGGTGTTTAGTTTTTTGAGTTCTTTATATACCCTAGAGTTTAGTGCTCTATCTGATGTGCAAGTGGTAAAGATTTGCACCTAAGCTGTAGGCCCTCTATTCACTTTACTGATTGTTTCTTTTGCTGAGAAGAAGCTTTTTAGTTTGAATCCATCCATTTATTCTTTATTTTAATTCTTGCGCTATAGGAATCATATTAAGGAAATAGAGGCCTAATCCGATATGATGGAGATTTGGGCCTAATTTTTCTTCTATTAGATGCAGGGTCTCTGGTTTAATTCCTAGACCTTAATCACTTTGAGTTTTACGCATGGTGAGGGATAGAGGTTTAATTTCATTTTGTTAAATATGGATTTCCAGTTTTCCAAGCACGATTTGTTGAAGAGGCTATCTTTTCTCCAATGTACATTTTTGACGCCTTTGCCTAATTTAAGATAATTGTAATTATGTGGGTTAGTCTCTGTGTCCTCTATTCTTTTTTTTAAATTTTTTTTTAGTTGTAGATGAACACAATATATTTTATTTATTTTTATGTGGTGCTGAGGATAGAACTCAGTGCCTCACATGTGTAGGCAAGTGCTCTACCACTGAGCCACAGCCCCAGCTCCTCTGTGTCCTCTGTTCTGTACCATTGGCCGACCAGTCTATTTTGGTGCCAATACCATGCTGTTTTTGTTACTATTGCTCTGTAGTATGTAGTTTAAGTTCTGGTATAGTGATGCCACCTGCTTCACTCTTATTTGCTAAGGCTTGCTTTAGCTACTCTGGGTCTCTTATTTTTCCAGATTAATTTCATGACTGCTTTCTCTATTTCTATGAGGAATGTCATTGGGATTTTGATTGGAATCACATTAAATGTGTATAGTGCTTTTGGTAGTATGGACATTTTGACAATATTAATTCTGCCTATCCAAGAACAAGGGAGATATCTCCATCTTCTAAGGTCTTCTTTAATTTCTTTCTTTATTGTTTCATAGTTTTTTTAGTAGAGATCTTCCACCTCTTTCATTAGGTTGATTCCCAAGAACTTTATTTTTAAAGGCTATTGTAAATGGATTAGTTTTCCTAGTTTCCCTTTCAGAGGGTGATTTATGGGTGTTGATTTTGCATCCTGCTACTTTGCTGAATTCATTTACTAGTTCTAGAAGTTTTCTGGTGGAATTTTTTGGATCTTTTGGTATAGAAACATATTGTCAGCAAATAATGCTAATTTGAGTTCTTCTTTTCCTATCTGTATCCCTTTAATTTCTTTCATCTGTCTAATTGCTCTGGACAGTGTTTCAAGAACTATGTTAAATAGAAGTGGTGAAAGAAGGCATCCCTGTCTTGTTGCAGTTTTTAGAGGGAATGCTATCAATTTTTCTCCATTTAGAATGATGTTGGCCTGGGGCTTAGTATAGATAGCCTTTATGATGTTGAAATATGTTCTTGTTATCCCAGTATCTCTATGTTCATTAGATATTGGTCCGAAGTTTTCTTTCTTTGATATGTCTTTGCCTGGTTTTGGAATCAGGGTGATATTAGCCTCATAGAATGAGTTTGGAAGTGCTCCCTCTTTTTCTATTTCCTGAAATAAATTGAAGAGTATTGGTATTAGTTCCTCTTTAAAGGTCTTGTAGTAGAACTCAGCTGTGTATCCATCCAGTCCTGGGCTTTTCTTGGTTGGTAGGCCTCTGATGGTGTCTTCTATTTCATCACTTGAAATTAATCTGTTTAAATTATGTATATCATCCTGATTCAATTTTGGCAAACCATATGACTAGAAATTTGAGGATGCCTTTGATACTCTATTTTATTGGAGTACAAGTTTACAAAATAACTTCTAATTATCTTCTGTATTTCTGTAGTGTCTTGTGGTATTTCCTTTTTCACCACATATGTTAGTAAAATTTTGAGTTTTCTCTCTCCTCTTCATTAGCATGGCTAAGTGTTTGTCAATTTTATTTATTTTTTCAAAGAACCAACTTTTTTGTTTTGTCAATTTTCAGTTGTTTCTTTTGTTTCAATTTCATTGATTTCAGCTCTGATTTTAATTATTTCCTGTCTTCTACTGCTTTGGGTGTTGATTTGTTCTTCTTTTTCTAGGGCTTTGAGATGTAATGTTAAGTCATTTATTTGTTGACTTTTTCTTCTTTTAAGGAAGGAACTCCATGCAATGAACTTTCCTCTTAGAACTGCCTTTACAGTGTTCCACAGATTTCAATATATTGTATCTGTGTTCTCATCACCTCTAAAATTTTTTTTATCTCCTCCTTGATGTCCTCTGCAACCCATTGTTCATTTAGTAATATATTATTTAGTCTCCAGGTGTTAGAGTAGCTTTTATTTTTTATTTTATCATTGATTTCTAATTTCATTCCATTATGATCTGATGGAATGTAGGGTAGTATCTCTACTTTTGCTAAGAGTTGCTTTGTGGCATAATATATGGTCTATTTTAGAGAAGGATCCATGTGCTGCTGAGAAGAAAATGTATTCGTTCATTGAAGGATGAAATATTCTATATATATTAAGTCTAAGTTATTGATTGTATCATTGAGTTCTATAATTTCTTTTAGTTCAGCTTTTGTTTGGAAGATCTATCCAGTGGTGAAAGAGGTGCGTTAAAGTCACCCAGAATTATTATGTTGTGATCTATTGACTCTTGAACTTCAGAAGAGTTTGTTTGATGAACATAGATGCTCCATTGTTTGGGGCATATAAATTCATTATTGTTATGTCTTGTTGATGAATGTTTCCCTTAAGCAGTAAGAAATAGCCTTTATTATCCCTTCTGATTAACTTTAGCTTAAAGTCTACTTTATTTCATATGAGGATGAAAACTCCTGCTTGCTTCTGCAGTCCATGCGAGTGGTATGATTTTTCCCAGTCTTTCACCTTCAGTCTGTGGATGTCTTTTCCTATGAGTCTCTTGAAGGCAGCATATTGTGAGGTCTTTTTTTTTTTTAAATCCAATCTGCCAGTCTATGTCTTTTGATTGGTGAGTTTAGGCCATTAACATTCAAGGTTATTATTGAGACATGATT